CAGCTAGCCAGTGGTAGGATTCAAATTTTTTACTACCGCTTCTGTGGGCGTGGCTTGGTGGGCGTGGCAGGGGAAGGAACCTGCAAAATCCCCCTTCCCTTCCCTTCCCTTCCCTCCCCACACCACTAGCCTGCTTTCCAGCTCCCTTCTCCTGTGCAGGGCAACCAAAGGAGACCCAGCTCATCAGCTGGGACTCAATGGGAGGCAGAGAAGAGATGGGGTTGGCGGGGCCAGGCAGAGGTGGGATTGGCCGATTCTCCAAACTACTCCAAATTTCTGCTTCCGGTTCTCCAGAACTGGTCCAAACCGGCTGAATACCACCTCTGCATCTAGCCCATGCCACTGCTCAGTGCAAAATCCACTAGATTAGACCATCTCTGACAGATGTCCATCCATTCTCTGTTTGAAGTCATTAGTTCAACCAGCAGCGTAGTTCCAAGATGGGCCTTCCTTCATGATGCGTTGATTGATGTGAAAGGAAGATCTCAAGGGAACCCTGGTCTAAAGGACCAGCTAGAATGTCCTAAATTCTCGCAGAAGAAATTGGTAACAAACAACTTCAGGATGCTCTTTGATCGAGGAGTTAAATTCAGCTCAAAGACGACCCGAGCTTTTATCTAATAACAAGAAGATTTAGGAAACGTAATTTTGTGCTCGCCGTAATAACAAGTGGAAGAGTTTAGAGATACCTGCCTACAAGATTGTGATACGATATTACGACTCTAACACAACCTACAGCATCTTCTGGAAGGATAAGAAATGCCAATAACACCCACACATTTTTTTTGATAACTACCTTCCTCCCCTTCACTTCGTTCTGAGAGTCTCAATGTCTCAGAATTGTTAATATTGTGGACTTAACGCAAAAAGAGAAGCCATAATTACACAGTGGGTGTTAGAGGAGACCTTGGATTATGGGTTGGAGGGGAACAGATAGCTTTGTAGAACAAATATAACAGGGTGGGAAAATGTTCAAGTTTCGAAGTAAAGTTTTCACTGTTTTCAGTAGACCAATAAAATAACAGAATTGGAAGGGACTTTGGAGGTCTTCTAGCCCAACCTGCTGCTTGAGGAGGAGACCCTTTTGGTTGTCCAATCTCTCCCTAAAAACCTCCAGTAATGGAACATTTACAACATTTGAAGCCAAGTTGTTCCACCCATTAATTGTCCTCACTGTCAGGAAATTTCTCCTTAGTTCTAAGTTGCTTCTCTCCTGGATCAGTTTCCACCCGTTGCTTCCTGTCTTGCCTTCTGGTGCTTTGGAGAATAGCTTGACTCCCTCTTCTTTTAGGGCAGCCCCTGAGATATTGGAAGGCTGCTATCATGTCTCCCCTGGTCCTTCTTTTCATTAGACTAGACATCCCCAGTTCTTGGAACCGTTCTTCATGTTTTTCATATCAGATACGCATTACGTATCTGATATTGACACAGTCGAGAAAGTCCAGAAATATTTCACAGGAAGAGTTCTACACTCCTCTACTCTTTGCAGAAGACCTTATGCCACCAGGCTTGAAATTCTAGACCTAGGAAACCTTGAATTACGCCGTCTTCGGTCTGATCTAAGTATGGTATATTAAATCATACATTGCAATGTTCTGCCTGTCAATGAATATTTCAGCTTCAACCATAGCAACACAAGAGCAAACAATAGATACAAACTCAAGGTTAAATGCACCAAACTTGATTGCAGGAAATACGACTTCAGCAACAGAGCGGTCAATGTCTGGAATCCTCTACCTGACTCTGTGGTTTCTTCCCCAAACCCCAAAAACTTTAACCTTAGACTGTCTACTATTGACCTCACCCCTTTCCTAAGAGGTCTGCAGTGGGTGTGCATAAGCACACCACATCCCTGTCCTATTGTTTCTTTTATATTTTTTTATTTTTCTTATATGCATCCATTTCATGTATTCATAACCATGTTTATACTTATACCTGTTATCTTATAGTCGCTTGACAAAATAAATAAAATAAATAAAAAATAAAATGTTTCCAATTCCTGCAACCATTCTTTATAACCAGGATGATGTGGGGACTGGACACTAAAACATATGAAGAACGGTTGCAGGAACTGGGCCTGGCTAGTCTAGGGAAGAGAAGGACCAGGGGAGACAGGAGAGCATCTTCCAATATTTGAGGGGCTGCCACAGGGAGGAGGAGGGGATCAAGCTATTCTCCAAAGCGAGAGAAAGGAAGGAAGGAAGGAAGGAAGGAAGGAAGGAAGGAAGGAAGGAAGGAAGGA